GAATTCTCCCATTTGTTTAAATCTGGATTCTTCACGGTGGCGATGGGGTGCCTCCCTCGAATGCTCACGTCGAGTTTGCTCTCCGTTGACGATCCGAACGTCTTGATTCACTAAAACGATATCTTCTCCTCACGATTTGATGCTGTGAAGAACTTGCAAAGTTTGAAACTCTGAATGAGTTGATAACTCAGAATGAGTTTAAACTCTTAAAAAAGAGTTGATTTGAACCGAAAAATCGGTTAATAAGCCAAAGGAATGCTCCAAGAACTTTGTTGCTGCATGAAGCTCATAGATGATCAGCTGCAGGAAGCTCGAAGATGATCCGAAGAAGCCGATCTCTAGATCTCCAAGATACTCCAAGATCCCACGATCCAAACTCAGTTGAGTTTACCCCTATTTATAGGGGATTAAGGGGTGTAACCGCCCCCTTAATTCGCTCATAAGTGGGGCTGAATGGCGTGTAATCATCCCCTTAAACAGCTCCCCAAATTGTGGGGAAAACGGTTTTGAAACCGTTCAGTTCGTGTTTTGAACGAGTCAAATGCTGAAAAATTGCGTTCAGGACCCGAACTCTACGTTTTAGCCTTAAAAAGCAGAGTTGGGCCTATTTTGGTGGCTGAACACACAGGTCACACTGCATTGTAAATCTGAAACACAGAGTTGGGACACAGAGATAAACTCCGCGTTTTGGACCTGAGACGTAGAGTTGGGCTCTGCATGAACTCTGCGTTTTGGGTCCACGAACTCTGCGTCTGGACTTGAATGCTGGAGATTGGCGATCGGAGCAACCTTGTGGACTTATCATCCTATTGAAGAGGATTGATAAGTTAATTTGTCAGAGATGTGATATTAACGTGATAAGAATTTGTTACGATCGGAGCAACTTTGTGGACTTATCATCCTATTAAAGAGGATTGATAAGTTGATTTTGTCAGAGATGTAATATTAACATGACAGGAAGAATATTGCGATCGGGGTAATTTTGTAGACTGATCATCCTATTGAAGAGGATTGATAAGTTGATTTGTCAGAGGTAACCATCTTGGACTCGAGATCAACCTTGTTCCAGGCACGCCGTTGGCAGAGTCTTGGTCTTTGGAGATCGGACTTCTTGTCATTCAAGAAAACCGAATTCTCAGCATCTTCGGCCTACAAGCACAAGCACTTGTTTGGCCTCTGTTGATCGAACTCATCCAATCAAGCTTCTACTGTGTACTGAAGCTACTTGATGAGTAGGCGGGGGTCAAGGCTTTTGTTGGGCTTGGGCCACTTAAGTTGGTTAATGTCATATTGCCAATACTCTTATTGTATCATTTTGCAAATACTCGTATTTTCGGGTGAGTGAACACCATAACACATGATGCTAATGAAAGGTGATGAGTCATGGAGAATCGTAGCGTGAGATGTGATGATGATGGCCAGTTGTTGGTAAAGATTTCGAGGATAAAACCACCTCACGATTTAGCTCTACAAACGGGACGACAAGTACCGTCTTTTTTATTGACCTCACAAGTTGTCGACCCGGCCTTAAGATATGTGAGCGGGGTCAAGCCAAATGAGGAGGTCGAGCGAGAGCTTGTCTCGACTCGGCCTTACTCGGGAGGGGATGAGTGCATGCCCATACTACCCAAGTCGTTCCTGGCTGGGATGAACCGATATGATGATTAGTGCTGATATGGGGTGCCGATTTTGATAGGATGATTGGCACTTAGGGTCTGTTTGTTTGCTAAAAAAAAATGAGAAATGTGTTGCCACCTCAACTTTCAAGAAATATCCTATGTGCCACATGGTTTTTTGTTTTCAAGAGGTTTCCATTTCAAATGTTTGTTTCGTTTTTAATTTTCAAGAAATGAAGTGCCACGTAGGATGCCACCTCACATTTTCAAGAAATGTGTTTTCACAACAAAATGGGCTGAAAACACTTGGAAATGTCCCATCTGAGAATTATTAATTAGTAAAAACACTGTTTATGAGGTTATAAAGAATAAAACATATTATTTAAATTGGTTTTCTCTCTTTTCATTTTTTTGTTCTCAAACAAACAAAAGAAATGGAAATGTCCAACACTGTTACTATGGATGTTTTTTTTGTTTTTTGTGTGACTTGACAGTGAAAATGGGGGGTTTCTTTGTGAAACAAACAAAAGAAAAGAAAACTATGAAATGTCTTGAAATGTCATAAAAGCATTTGAAATGTGACATTTCAATTTCCTTTTTTTTTTTGGGAAATAGCCAAACAGGCCCTTAGGTGAATTGTTGACAAAATACCTGGCCAAAATAAAAATACCATCGATCATACCTCTTCCTCGGAGGAAAATGATAAATGTACTAAGTTCTACTCTATTTCTGTATTCCCACCAACAATTCTACACTATTTTTGTATTCCCACCAACAAATCGTGTAGGATCCTTTCGTGAAAAACCAAGTTCAACACTAGTTCCGCACTTCCGCACTTTGCAGCGTCTTATTAGATATTCCCTCTATTTCGGTCGAATTTTGAGGGTATGTTTTAGAAAAATTCCTCAAGGACCTAAAATATGGGATCAATAGAGGGGACAAGTGAGGTGTCCCCCTCCTATTGATGGCCAACTCATTATCCAATAGGAGGGGGACACCTCACTTGTCCCCTCTATTGATCCCATATTTTGAGTCCCTGTAGCAAAGCTCATTAAGTTTAAGAAGGGGTAGAAAAGCAAACGGCATGATAAGAGGAAGCAAGGTGGGTCATACTGATTTTTAATGTTTTGCGAGCGCTAGTAGCATTTAATTAATTAATTAATTAATTATAATTATTAAAGGGAGGAGGGGCAGAAAAGAAAGAGAGAGGATTGCAGGAGACGAAGCATGGTGGGCCCCCCCGCCCCAGGGAGAGAAGGACACGGGGACTTTGGGTGGGGGGAGGTAGGTTTTTGTGGTGGAGGAGGTGGGCGACGATCTCGGCGAGGTACGCGCGCACGAAGGCCTTCCTCCTCCCAACGGTCGGATTGGGATGCACACCCACCCCCCGCACGGCCCTTCTTCTACTCCTGCTTCCTACTTCCTCTCATGCTATTAGAGCAATTTTCCATGGCCCACATTATTATTAGCCGTGCTTTTATTGATAATGACAAACCGTTGTTTAATAACCCCCTTTAATTTTTACACCCAATTGCTCTGTGCTCTCTACGAGAGAATTTTCTGGGGAGAGGTTGGTTACCTAGCGAGCGAGAGAAGCGTGGCGAGCAAGGAGGGGGGGTGAAATAAATAAATCCGACAAAGCAAAGCATTTAATAATAATAATAATAGAGAGAGAGAGAGAGAGAGAGAGAGAGAGGGGAGAGGAGAGAAGGGGAAGACAGCCCCTGTCTTCTTTTGCTCCCCTCCCCGTCTCCTCCTTTCCTTCTCTCTCTCTCTCTCCCTCTCTCTCTCTGTCGTTCGTTCGTTCTTTCTTTCTTTATTAAGCGTGCTCTGTGTGTTCTTCAGTAATAAAAGAAAAGGCAAAACATCAGCAGCGACCCTGCGCTCCAAATAAGCAAAACAAGCGGAGAGCCATTGCGTGTGGCCCTCCCTCCTCTCCCCATCTCTCTCTGTCTCTCCCCCAAGAAATTAGCAATAATATACAAGGCTGCCACCAAGATCTCCCTTGTCCCTAGCTCTCCCCTCCCTCATATCAAACACTATCGATCACCTCCCTTCTACTCTCCTCGACCTCCTCCTCATTTTAAAAAAGTCACAAACCCCCAATCCCTCTCTCCACCACCACCACCCCCCTCAACCAAAACAAGGGGGAAAAAAGGGAAAGAAAAAAAGAAAAGAAAAGAAAAAACAAGCAAAAGCAAACAAAGGTGCAGGAAGCCTTCATTCTTGCTGTTTCCTTCTTTCTTTCTAATTCCTATTTATCAAATAAGTACGGAACTTACGGCACTTCACGAGCAGTGAGAGAGAGAGGGAGGGAGGGAGGGAGATTCTTAATTTATGTCCCTCGCTTAGCCATTTTAATTAGCTAGCCCACACCCTCAAACAAAGGTAATTAAAAACAACACACCCCAATTTTTTAAAAAAAATCAAATCCAGATTAACGATGGCAGCGGCATCAGCAGCAGAGGAGGAGGTGATGCTGGTCCCCACGGGCAAGAATATCCGTCGGCAGCACATTAATAGCAGGGAAGGCGACGACGATGTAGTTGGTGATGCCGCAACCCTCGACACGGACAAGCTCAGCTACGAAATCTTCTCCATCCTCGAGAGCAAGTTCCTCTTCGGCTACGACGACCACAAGCTCTGGCTCCCCAACCCCAAACCCTCTCCCGCAACCTCCGCCGCCGCCGATTGGTGGTTCCGTCA